ACAACAGAGAATGCCTGGAATTACCTTTCATGGGACCAAATGTCTTCGACCGACGAAGCAACAACCGCTGACACAAGAGAAGGTCCAGGAGCTCACCATCCAGCTTTCACAGTTGGCAAGCCAAGGAGACCTGATCCAGCGCTTCACAGCGCTCAAACCCATGAATCGAGATCAAATCCCGGAAGACTCTCAGGTGACGATACCAGAGCGTCTCGATCTCAATCTCCGAAGCGCAGCCTCGACTCAGCTGTTCGAGGTTCTCAACACCTTGAGCGGAAGCGGGATATGCCAGTTGATCTTGCTGCGCTTGAGGCCGACCGGCCTGCAAAGCTCCCCGCTTGCTACCGCCATTGCCCACCATGTGAGACGTTGATGCGCCAACTGCTCCGGACAAAGCTTTACAATACCTCCAATGCCTGCTACATCAATGCAGCACTGATGGGACAGCTTTGGGCCACTTTGGCTTTTGAGGGTTTTGATCCTGAGCTATGGGGTCAATGAAGGAAGCCTCTACTTGAATTGTTCGACACCCCTGCTGGGGTGGATCTTTGTGCTGCTGTTCCATTTCAACGCCTGCTGAAGCCGTGGTTCGATGAACACGTTCCCATAGAACAGCAGGACGCAGCAGAATTTTTGGGGTGGCTGAGAGGTCAACACCTCCACGACCATGTTTGGGGAATAGAGTCCAATGACTAGCAAAGACGCCTAGCCAACTCCACAGAAGACCGCGGTGCTTTACTTGCACCATTGCTCCTTCGAATGCCGGAAGAAAAGAGATGCGACCTGCAAGTTTTGATCAATATGTGGCATGGCCAGGATTCCTTCACGAACGCCTGCATTCATGCCCATCCATGCATAGTGTTGCAACTCGAAAGATTCCCAACACTTGGATTGAAGCGTAATACTCCAGTGGACTTCTCTCGTGCCGAGGTCCATGTACCGGTCTTCAATCATCCCTCCGGTCGGGATGTCAGTTGGCTACAATACCGAGTGGTGGCCATTGTGTGTCATTTTGGAGATGACCCGGACAGCGGCCACTACCAGTGTCTCTTCATCAGCTCGGGTAGCTCATGGATAATCGATGATGGTAAAGAAGCGATCAGGTGCCCATTTATTAATCCCATCCGCCGTTCTGCCTATATAATCTAGATCATTCCTCAGGAAGATCTAAATATGTGATGGCGGAGACCCATCGAAGATTTGCACATTAATCTTTCCGACTTGCTGGCTACGACCTTTTCCGGTGCGGCTACTTAAGCCCGCCTTTTCGTCCCTTTCGCATCGTAATTGTGGCTAGATTCTCTCACTGCAAAAACCGCAGCTAAATAACTATGTTGCCTAAGACGGGCCTAACCACGTTCAGGCTGGAAATAAATAAATAAATAAACAATAAAAATATCAATAACTTCATTATTAAATATTATATTATAATATTTATAAATCCTAAAATATATTTAAACAATTTTCGATTCTTAAATTTTATATTCATTAAAATAAAACAAATATGTTCCTTATCCTATAATCCTAATTTATATATAGAAAAAAAAAATAAATTACTAATATATATATATATTTTTTTTTAAATATATATTTATTATATCAATTAATAAAATCATTCTATAAATATATATATATATTAATAAATATATAATCAAAACAATATATTTACAATTATTTATATATAATATAAATTACAATATTTAAATTTATTTATTTAATTTTAGTTATTATCGAACAATAAATTAATTAAAATAATATAATTCTACGAAATATAATATATGTATATCTAAATATTGTTAATTAATTTCATTTCGGATAATATAAATTAAAAAAATATATATATATATAAATATAACAATAAAACAATATTTCAAATATATCATCTCCATAATAATAACTAAAATTCGATTCGCCAAACGACGATCTATTCAAAAATTCAAAATTAAAAATATAATCTATAATTATCGAATATTATTACAACGAAAAAATATACAAAAAAGACACATCTTCAAATAAAAACAATTTAGCAGACCACTAAAAAAATTCAAATATATCACCCAACAAAAAAATACCCGCCCAATAATTAATAAAAATAGAAAAATATATCTAAAACAAAAACTAAATCTCGACACCGAATTAGATCCCGAAATCGAAAAACAAATTAAATCAAAAATACATCCCATCTAAATAAAATCATTAAAACCTCTTCTAAGATAATTAAATCGATATATATCGATAATGCATACTATAGTATTACCTACGATTTTGCAAATCATTACCTTAAAATTATTCAGATTTATATTATAGATTTATTATTTACAAATATTAAATCATTGATTCTATTTAATCCTAAATATTTATATGTATAAACCAATAATATATTCAAAAAGAATCGTTCGATTCAATAGATTTGGGTATTTTATTTTTCTTTTAAGATAATAAAATAAGAAATAAAGAAACCATTGTAATATAATATCCACCCTCATTTTAGACGACAATTTTATTTCGACGATGATGATTAATATTTTGGGAACGTCTATCTTCATCTTCGATGACAATTATTTTGGCAACCTCCACCTCCGCTTGCAACGACGGTACACACTTTGGCGACAATTATGCACACTTTGGCACGCCCGTTTTCGACGACATCCACCGTCGCTTTTGACGACAGTTACACCCTTTGGCGACATCCACTGTCGTTTTCGACGACAGTTACACCGTCCACCTTCATTTACACGTTTTGGCGACGCCCACGCTCGTGTTCAACTACAATTATACACACTTTGGCAAAATCCACCCTCTTTCGACGACATTTACACACTTTGGCAACGTCCACCTTGGCTTTGCACGACAATTACACATTTTGACAACATCCACCATCGTTGTTTGCACGCTTTGGCAACGTCTACCTTCATTTTTTTGACGACAGTGGCAACCTCAACCTCCACCTCCGTCTTCAAAAACAGTTAGGGAATTTGGCAACATCCACTGTCGTTTTCGATGACAGTTTCACACACTTTGGCAACGCCCACCTTCGTTTTCCACGACAGCTACACACTTTGGCAACATCCCCCTTCGTTTTCGACAACAATTACATGTTGGCAACGTCCCTCTTCGTTTTCGACGACAAGTACACACTTTGGCAACGTCCACCGTCGATTCAAACAACAGTTACACACTTTGGCACCTTCCACCTTCTTTTGCGATGACGGTTACACACTTTGGACGACGCACCGTGGTTTTTGACGACAGTTACAGTAAACACTTTGGCGACGTCCACCTTCGTTTTCCACGACAGCTACACACTTTGGCACCGTCCCCCTTCGTTTTCGACGACAATTACACGTTGGCAACGTCCACTGTCGATTTCGACGACAAGTACACACTTTGGCAACTTCCACCACTTCAAGTCGCAATATTCCGCCGGTTTTTGAATGGTTTTGACACTTGACACGCACTTCGTGCGAAAGAGTTGCTGCGGGCACCTTGAAATCGTAAGCTTCCCTCAGCTTTTGACACTTGACACACGTTTCGTGGGAAGGTGACAAATGGTTCCTCCGCTTTTGACACTTCGAGAAGGAGGGAGAGAGAGAGAGAGAGAGAAAGAGAGAGAGAGAGAGAGGAAGAGAGAGAGAGAGAGAGACGAAGAGAGAGAGAGAGTTAGAGAGAGAGAGAGGAGAGAGATGCAAATGTGGAGATATGCTGGTGATGATGATGATGATGATACAAATCTGACAAATATCATGTTTGTGGAAAATCCACAAATGAAAACATCCAACATATATGATTTCTAGACTTTTTAACATATTGATGTCTGTTGTCGCAACTGTTAATTTGGACACATAGTCTTTTTGGGATGGCAATTTTGCAGCGTTGAGACTTATGGGGGGTTATGGCCCCCAAGGCGACCGCCTAAAAGGAATTCCATCCGATGGTTTCTTTCATGCCAATCTGTTCGAATCCTCCACCCTAAATGGCTACTAGTAGCGTCCTTGTTCCTAGTACAGTAGCGATGGCCTCCAACCTAATAGCGATGGACTCCACCTAGTAGTGTCCTTCCTACATATTTCATTGATATGATGTGTTTGGGGCATGCGTATGTTAAACGATGTTTATCTCTGAGAAGCCGGCCTTGCTGCTGCTTTGACACTCCGCTGCCAGTCTTCAAACTGAGCCTTCCATCAGGGTGTGAGGATCCGCTTGCCAACAAACATAGAATCGATTACTGTAAAGAAGTGTCCAAACACTATCAAAGTGACCACGTGTGCAATGTCTTTACAAACAATTCTTCAGCGCATGCCTTCGCATCAGCCCAACCGCCGCCACCTTCAGTCTTATGCAAAACATTTCAAGTCAAGGACACTACTAGTAGCTCCTGGCCATACTACTAGGAACAAGAAGCTACTAGGAGCAAAGGGCATCGCTACTAGGAGCAAGGACGCTACTAGTGATATGCGGCAAATCTGTAGCAATGACTACGCATTGACTGAGGACTATCACGCATGGTTTGCTGCCAGCGTGAAAATTGCTCCGGGCTGGCATTCCAAGTTGAGGCGGCGTACTACGATGCAAGTTTCTGCTTCACAAAATACCTCTTCAAAAGTAGTTGCTTGACCCAAGCACTGGCATAATTGATGCAGGTTGTTCGTCAGAAGTGGCCCAAAGGCCAGCCTGGGCTGTCTGGTTGCACTTTATCACACAGAGTCGCGTCAAGCACAGTCTTGGTCCCAGGCGGCTGCCAATGTGCAGGGATGCCAGTGGCAGCGACGGAGCCTTCCATCCAACTCCCTTGCAAATGAACCTCTGCAGACTTCTTAGTGCACGGCCATCTGTCAAGGCCAAAGGTGGAGCACCTTGGGCAGTCTGCCGCTCACATTTGACTCTCCAAACTCTCGTCTTCTCAAATATGCCTCAGTTCTCAGTTCCTTGCTGTCTGAAACCCTCTCTTCGGCATGCTTTCGAGGTCGGTTCACTCGATCCTCGAAAGGTTCAAGTTCAAATTATGATGAATCAACCTTCGCAAGTACCACCAACGCATCCCGAGCCTTCAGTGCAGCAGTGAAAGAGAGGCTTTGAGGCTGTTGAGGTTCCTGCACTTCAAAGAGCCAATGCTGTGCAAAATTGATTGCTCTTACTTTGCATTTCAACCAAACAGAAAATAAAATAAAGCAAGCTGCTTTGTGTGTTATTTATGACCCTTTACGTTTTAACGTTGCTCGTGGGCCAGGTGTCAACAATGTCGTGCATTGTTGTCATACTGTCTGGTGAACTTGACTCCTTCTGGGCGGCCAATGCTGCAGCTTTGGATGCCCTGGTGACCTGCACTACAGAATAAGACGCGCTGTGGGCTGCGAGCAGTCCATGGAGAGATTCCGAAGACTGCCGAGGTGGACCTGGTCGACTTGTTTCCGAATGTCCTCGTTGGCAATAAGTTGATGCACCAAGACCTGGAAGGAATAGGGTAGTACAACGAAAACCCTGAGCAAAATTAAACGACTGTTAACACGTATCCCAAGTCTGCCTCTTTGCCACAGCCAGGACAGCTGCTCTCAATAGAGTGCGCCAGGCGGTCGATGGCACAATCACTGCCTGAGTAAAAACTCCCAAACATTGCTGCAATCAAATTGTTGCTCCTTCCTTTGTTTGAAGGTACATGCAAGAATGACTGAGCCTCCCTGCAATAGGTGGACCCGCAGCATGGTGCCAGTACTGCCTGCAAAAGCATGCGACGAACACCAAGGATCAGAAACTCATGCATGTTCTGTTTGTGTCCTGCCTGTCGAAAAAGCTGATGGCAAAGTGGACATTTTAGCAAATCCTCCATGAGAATGCAAGCACTCTTTCAGGATGTCCAATTGGTTTAGGGGCTCAGGTCATTCAATCCTCAACCCGTCGCGCACCCTGGGTGAAGGCAGTGGTCACCTCGAATCAGTTGAGGCAAGAAGAGTTCACGAGGATTGTAGCTGAAGAGGATGCCAGACCTTCTCCTGAACAGTGTCCCCAAGGATGCGCTTCTTCTCCTCGACTGAGGCTTCATGATCATAGATGTAGTGGCCACTACGCCTTGCATAAAGCGTAGAGACTCGGCAGGTCGATGACCCAGGAAGTGAGATCAAACTTTCGGAAGCTGAGTCGATGACCCAGGAACCATGAGCGTAACACCTCCTGCACTTTTCTCTTGTGCTTCCTCTATCGAGACCTGCGACTGGTGAGGACTGTGGCTTGGAAGTTCTAGGCAATCATCCATGCAATCATTTACGAGGCCCTAATGTCCCTCCTTCTTGAGGAATTGCCGGGGGATGCCCTTGGCTGGTCTCACCTCAGAACATAGAACTTCATGATTCCTTGACTCTCCTGGACTTGATTCGTCGAAATTATCCAATTCTTTAAGCTGCAAGCCCTTCGGACGTGCTCCGGGTCATCATTCGTTGGGCATTCCTCGGAGCGTAAGGCAACTAAGAGTTTTAGCGATTTTGAGAAAGCTGGAAGGGAGTCCAAAGGGCAGCAAAAGTGCTCTTGCTACTAGGAACAAGAAGCTATTAGGGGCTCCTGGCATCGCTAGTAGGAGCGAAAGGACGCTACTAGGGGCTCCTGGCCGTACTACGAACGGAGCAAAGGGCATCGCTACGAACGGAGCTTTTGCCAAGATTCCCAAACCCAATGAGATCCGACCAGTCCGCACCTCGGCCCCATGGGGCTCCGTGTGCATCAGCAGGTCGTAGAGAAACCATATGAAAGCATTATTTTTTCTGCAGAAAAACAATGGAGCTTAAAAGGGTGGTGCTTGGGCTTTAAAAGGCCCCTTTGGGGGGATCTTATTAATCTTATTAAAACACATTCTCTGGTAGGTCCGTCTCTTTTTTCAGTCTCAAAGCCGGACCTGTGGCAAAGGTAAGTCTCTGGTGGAGGCTCTTGAGGTTCTTGAGCAACCTGAGGACGTCGAATCACCCGAAGCTGTCTGCACTTTACATAGCAGCGAACCATGGTGCAGGAGATGAGGTCCTTACTACCATGCTGGGCACAGTTGTCCAATGTCTGACTTTTTGTTTGCTTCTTTAACTCTTCACTTCAGCCTTCGGGTAACCTTGCTCTACTTTTCTTTGTCTTTCTTGGTGCCTCCCACTCAAACCGAGTTCATCTGCAGGGAGCCTCCTCATCAGAGCCACCGTCATAGCCAAACTGCCGCTTCTCGCCTTCAGCAGGTCGTGACCGTGCGCAGATTCCAGAGATTGATCTCTCAGTACCATACTGCTGGCCGCAGCATTGTAAGAGCGGTTAAAGCCTCGGTCGTGTTGGAACCGGGAGCGCGTATTTTGCAGTGTGTTCATTATTACCAGGTGTGCTAAGGCTCCTGACGATGAGTTGGAGCAGTCGAGGAAGACAATCCGAGCCCTGACACGTCATGCCTGAGCTATCTGTTGGAGAGTGGGGTGGGAGCTGCTCAGCTGTTGACGGCAAGAAATCTTGCTCTTAGGCAGGAACAGTTCAAGTCCTTCCCTGGTCCTTCCCTTTTCCCTTTTTTATTCCTAGTCTAAGAGCAAGGCTGCTGTACAACTTGGTCCATTGCCAAGTCATCATCATCACCAACGGCGTCCAAAGACAGTGAGCCTTCAAAAAGAATTGTCAGATCAAAACAAAAGCCAAGGTTGACATCTGAAACATCTGAAACATCAATAATTACACATGTGATCATATGATATCATATGTGCAACTGGATAGACTGAATCAGCACAAGTTAGCTGATAGAAGTACTCTCGAGAACTCGCCTGCCAGCTGCCCCTCGGCTTTAGGAGTTCGACGGACCAGAACCTTGCGCTTGAAAAGAATCAAGGTTCGACTCGCTTCGACCTCTTTTTGTCCATCTCTTTTCGCCCGCTGCTGTTTAATTAAGTAGTCGCTACTAGTAACTGGACGGAGGATAGCTCACACTTCTCTTCAAAGAAGCCCCCCGCCTAGATTCTTGGGAAAATTTAACTTAAGGAGCGGGTTAGGCCGTGAGGAGGCTTAAGTAAGCTTGCAAATAACGAGTAGCTGAGTAGCTACTAAGCTTAAGTATAGCTACTACCTAGGACGCAGGAGGGCTCTGGCTCCTTCGAGGAAACCTGAGCCTCAATGATTTAGCTTCTAGATTTGGGGGGGAAGCTTAACTTTCTTCTCGTTCAGTTTTTGTGTGGCGTGCTCAAACAGCCTGGACGAGACTATCCTCGATCAACAGCGCCTCATGCAAATTGCTGCTCTGCTCATGAACTGCAGAAAATGAAGTTCTGCTGTGCAAATGTGCACTACGGCTCCTTGGGATCTAGGGTAGTCCCTGTTGCATTGTTGTCAAGGTGCAAATCCTCGGCACCCAATCGACTTTTAAGCACTCTGTAAACAATGGCTGTATTGGGCATGGCCTAGCAACAAAAAGCTACTAGGGGCTCCTGGCACTACTAGTAGCATTCTTGCTACTAGTAGCGTCCTTGCTCCTAGTAGTAAGGCCAGGACCCCTAGTAGCCTCCTTGATCCTAGTAGCGATGCCCGGGTTCCTAGTAGCTTCTGGTTGGTAGTAGTATGGCCAGGAGCTACTAGCAGCGTCCTTGACTTCTTGTTCTTGCTTCAATATGCCACTTTGGCATCGAAAAGGCAGTGGCCGTCGTCGCATCAGAGATTCGGGCCTCTCACCAAGTGACGGAAACTTCAAGCGTAAAGGTTCAATCAGGTTGACGATCACTTTGGTATCCTTTTGTTAGGATGGATGAGTCAGAACAAGCAGTTCTCTGTCAATGTCTCTTGCATCCACATGGGCACTCCTGCTCATAGATGGCGGTCCGAACTCTCTGAAGGGTGCATGGCCTTGGCCGAAGCATGCCAAAGCATGCCGAAGGCATCCTGGAAATGCTCGGCCCGTGTGCAGTGAAGTTCGTGCTAAGTGTGCGGCGTTGTCACGTTCAGCAAACTTCGGAAAGCCTAAATAGAAAACTGTGGCAATGGCACCACACTTTATTTACTGCAACGTCTCCTCACCTTCTCTCCGCGGAACTTGAACTGCACGGGCATGTCCGGCAGCTCATGGCGAGAATCAGAAATTCTTTGGTGTTCTCTGACAGCCACAAGCATCATCTTTGAGATGTCCTGACCTTACTTCATGACATAGAAACATAATTACTGTACATGTACATGCAAGCGTGCTCAGTAAATGTTGACATATGTTGGATGAAAGGCTGAGCATGATCATTGGCAGCATTTCTGGCGGGTTGAACTTGCGACCGATCATTTCTCTAGAGAGGGCGTCCACGAGCCAAATGGTCTCAAGTGCGTGACTGGGGACCTTATCACACAGCTCCGCCGTGTCTGTACCTCACGACCCTCCAGAAATCAATTGGATGTTGTGGGCAACACTGTTGCAAGTATTTTTGCTGCCGCTAGCGCTCTTGCTGCAAGACAGGCCAAGTGAGCTACTGATTGTAAGTGTTCCAGTATTCTAGTATTTTCAATCGTCTCCGGCAGAAACTTGGCAACTCTTGCTTGATGATGCTATTTGGTCAGTAGCTCATCCGTCGTTACTACCATTCTACACACAGAATCTGCACAGCCCCTTGGAGGTGTAGAGGCATGAATGGGTCAAACCAATCAAAATTGTAGCAATGCTGTTGCCATTGCCACGTCGGATTGGCTCTAAGACCCAGAAAGCTGTACTGAATGCCATGGAACTCATTTTAGTTCCTGGAACAAATGCCAAGAATGGCATGAAAACCGCTGCCTGATCGCAACCACAAAGGCAAAGACACTCTGCGAGGTCCTTTCGAGCTTGCTGTTTCTTTGCCTACCAAGGGCCCACTATGGTTTGGCCGAAAGCCTCACAGAGCATCTACACTTAATTTGCTACAAAAGCATCGCTGGGATCTGAAACAAACAGTCAAGCTATCCTTATACGGTGCAAAACGCTGTGTACTTTGTGGAAGACACTGTTTGACGTCGAAATCAAGTCGTTGGAACTTCCGAGGTCCAAGTGTGCCAGCAGGCTTCGCATACATATTGGTTTCCACAAATAAGCGGAAGTAAAACGCCAGTGAACCCATCCAAAATCACTGACTTGCAAATAGATTGGCTGATGCTCTGCTGACAGCAGATTTCTCTGCCAAGTGCAGAACCTGTCCAAGAATCCCACATTTGACAACTGAAAACTCGGGCTCTGCCTCTACAAACTGGTACAACCACTTGTACAATCTTCACTGGCCTCATGGTACAGCGAGTTCACATCCTGTGAAACTCCGCAGTCCCACTTGATCCTGAGCGACAGCTCGTGGCACTTCAAGCCGTACTAGACAGCACGACGTATGCTGGAACACCTTATATACATGGACGTTGGATACATCAAATTCCATATGATGTATGTTCTGTATGCTCCTTGGGCGGAATGTGGACCTGTGGGCAATCGACCCATTGAAGGCCCTGCAAAACTGTGCAGTTTCACAAGAGTGAGAATGCAAGCCGAGGGGCATCTTGAGGAATTCCAGTTCTCCTCGGTTCAGCTCCTCCTGTCGCAAGCCGCAAACCTTTGCATAGAAAGTATTACCTGCGCATGAAGCGTGCACAAGTGATCAAACAAAACAACTCATCAAAAGCAGCAGAAACCGGCGAGGCAAGAAGTATAATCGGAGAGACCAAGAGTCAAGAGAGATTATGCTCAACAAAGTCTATGCTAAATAATACATGTATAACCGTGATACCGTGATACCTGATAACACATACATCATCTTCATACGAGGCACTGTAAATGACATCTTCATGGAACTTGACGCTTACGATCAAGCTGGTCGCCAAGAGCCGATGTATCGAAAAAGCATTCACAACCTGAAACTGGACATAGAAAAAACTGAAGAAAACAGTAAGCAGTAATAAGCAGTACAAAAAATTATTGTCTTTCAGTACATTGCAAATGTTTGATAGTTCACAAATGTTCAAAGTACATTTCAAATGCCATGGCTGCCATGGCTGATGAGACCATAGTGCGATAGTGAATGCACTCCAAACACAGAGCCATTCGAGGCCATAGTTGTAAAATCGAAGCATAGAGATGTACAGTTTATACAGGCACACAATATTGCATCCATATCATCCCATGTCACATGTACAAAGTATAAACTTGTCGCTCTTAGTCAATAGGCATTCGTTTCAGCAGGTTCTTCGGAATGCCAACCCTGTTAAAGAGTCACCTTTCCCAGAAATGAGCCACATGAGAAGGCGAGGCCCACTGGCCCACCCCAGAGCCACTAAACAAAGTCGGACAAAGTCAGACAGAGAGAGGAACACAAAATCCGAAAAGGGTTCAAAACTGAAACAAGCTGCAAGCCACAGAACTGGCCCTGCATGATTGTGCCGACAGCAACAAAGCTGCTTGTCAAAAACTGCAACACTGCCATTTTGCTAAACACATGGTGGTTGATCAAGAGTTCATGATGGAATGGCCCTGGCCATTCATCGCGGAAAAAAGATGAAAAATGATTTTTTTTTTTCGTGGGTTTTTCGTGGCCTCATCGCGAAGCATGGTCCTAAACCATGTCTACCATCAGCTACCCTAGGGTCTCTTGGAGCGTCTGCGCGACAAACCTTGAGGAATGTCCTGGAGGAGGCTTAGAATTAGAGTCAGGCGCAGCTCAACCCAACCCTCGTGCCAGCTACCAACACAGAGTAATGCAGTTCGGGGAATGTGGGGGGGGTTCAAGCTTCGAGCCAGGACTTTAACAGCACATTCGCGGAACTTTTGCGGACCTGTCGCGAAAATTCACAAATTTCCCCGAAAATGCACATCATGCACAAACATCTGCACAATCTGTCAAAGCTGCGGTTGTGAGTTGGGAAGGGCAATCCTGTACGCACCGTCAGGGCTTCGCAAGGGCAAGTTTGTTAGTATGTGACTGACAATGGGAACAGGAATCGGATAATCCTTTATGCACTGTGAGGGCTGGGCAAGGAAACGATGAGGTTTCATTTCGTTAGTCTGTGGCGGTGGGGGCATGTGGGGACACTTCCGCCCACCGGCCCAGCTAGAGAATTGCCTTCCGCTTCTACGTGAAGATGATGACAATGGATAATTTTGTGCGGCAACACATGAAAAAATACTTTTGCGAACCTCGTCGTGGATCTTTTGCAGATGGTTTGGACAACATCAAACAAATCATTTTGTATATATAAAAGCCTTACACGCACTTTTAGATCAACTCCTACATACGCTCGCAAGTGATCTAATCTTCCTGACAAACAAGGACTGTTGGAAATACGAACCCATTACAGTATGTCTGCTTGGCCTCCATGAGAGCGCTGCTGGTCTTGAAATCACAAAAATATGTCCAACATTGAGTCGCTGAGGTGCAAAATCTGGGCAGAAGTCCAAAAAGCGGCTGATGTAGACAAGGGCAAGAAGGAAGCAAGAGTCACTGCACATAAAATAGTCCCTCAATCGCATGAGGTAGTCTTCAATGCCAATACTGGGCTTGCGAAAGCCTGAGCTGGACAACATGAGAGATAAATGCTGGGAAGCATCTGAGGACGTCATATTCTGAGGCAATTACCATGGAAGCAGCTGGAGCATCGAGAGCTGAGGTCCGGATTCGCCTCGAAAGTCTGTCCGGATTACCCCAGCATTGACCCCACATAGCGAAAAATGTTTGTGGCGGCACCACGGCAGCGGGGCCCTGGCGCAGCGGCAGCACCCAAATTCAAAAGCCACACAGCCACACATCTGGCAGCAGCACCCAGCAGTGGCACCAGCACCCAAGCTCCAAAGCGCACAGCCAGACATCTAGCAGCGGCACCCACCAGCGGCAGCAGCGCCCAAGCTCCAAAGCACACGCAGCAGCACCAGCACTAGCACCCAAGCTCCAAAGCGCACACTGCCACACATCTGGCAGCGACACCCCGCAGTACCCTGCACGCGGCCACGCATTTGACAGCGGCACCATGCAGCAGCACCAGCACTTCAGCTCCAAAGCGAACACGGCCACACATCTGGTGGCAGCACCTCTTCCTATACTTGAAGTAAGAACCCCAAATAACTCACGCTATCCGGGGAATAACATGGAATACAAGGCGTTTTGAGTCTTAGTCTTAGTCTTAGACCTGAAGCCTGACGCCTCTTATATAGTGGTTTCTTGTTCTCAAAAATATTGATTAAAGGGACTCAGAGGGACCCTGGACTCTTGAGAACCGAGTCACAGGATCCATCACATGCAAATAGAGCTTTGCCAACGCTGCTTCGTTTTTGATGCTCACATCGAGGTGTGCAAGGTGACTGAAAGGTGGTATTTCCACCCTGCTTTACTACAACACGAAGGTGCCATTTATGGCAAGAACGCCAAGGCTCTATCAGCCTGCCGCCATCAATGTCGGGTGCCTTGCTGGGTGCCCCATTTCACGCCATTTCTCTTTTCAAAGGTACCACAAGGAACCACAAGGGACCTCGCCTCATCATTCTCATCTGTGTAACATTTGCCAGCCATCTTGATCTCTTTGAGGATCTTATGCCTCGCAAAAGGTCATACATGGTTGCCATGTCGGCAGGCTAAATAGCTACGCCTGGCTACACAGTACACCTAGAGCCTCTTGAGCTTGACTGATCTTCACACACCTCTCAGGTGATGCAGGGCCCGCTGACTCAGTGCATCCAAGATTTTCTCTGCCTCGAGAACAGAAACGGAGTTACAGTAGATCTTCGAGACTTAGTATGAGACACAAAATACCAAATATCTATGGGAAGATGTCTAGACATCTTAGGAACTAATGCGTTAAGGTGATGGTTGGCTGTCTCACGTCTTCCAATGTCGCTTGGTGCTGCTCAGGTCTCCACACAGACTCGCCGACTGTCGCTTGGTGCATAGCCTGTGGTATTTCTCCCAATGTCTCCCAATGCATCCACACTGCTTAGGGGGTTAGCCATGATTATTGCAGCAGCTTTTGCCTGCACGGAGCTCGAACATGCTGAGGCTACTTTGGGAAACCCCCATGGTGTTTGATGCCAGAGGATGAAAGTTTGTACCTTCGGTGCAACAACTAAGTTGAACCTGCAAGTGCTATCCACATAGTGGACCCTGGACAATGTGATACTTTGTTGGATCCGGATTGGACACCGCACCTACACTCAGCACTGCAAGAGAATAGCATTGTGCCTCTCAAGAGGTACCACTCTATTCCCGATATGAAAAATTGGCATTGCACAGCGAATGACAGGCAAAGAGGACTGGACCGACAGGAAACTCAGCGATCCTCCGCGGAGAGAAGGAGTTTCCCATCCTAGGAGCAAGGACGCTACGGGCTCCTGGCCTTACTACTAGGAAGAAGCTATTAGGGGCTCCTGGCATCACTACTAGGAGCAAGGACGCTACTAGAGGCTTCTTGAGAGACCTTGTGACGAATGCGAAAATCCTGAGTTCAGGTCCCCAGGTGTCCACAGGGCCGATATAGATGAGCCCGGTGAACCGGTATTAATGGTATTGGGAGCGGTTGCCGTCAGCATCTGCTCCAAAGGCTACTCCTTGAGCCTTCACATGACAGACACGGCAAACAGAGGAAGCGGCCCAAAGTACATCACATGATACAGTTGTGTAATAGTCGTACGCAGAAGATCCGACAAAAGCCACAGCGCCAAGACAGCCAAGAGCTTTGACTGCAGTTCACCAGTTTGGTGATCAAGACACAATTACCAATTGCTGTATTCTCCTTCGGACTGTTGGACACTGGATGACACTGGTCCACGTGCATTATCAGCCAAAGCATCCTGATTGACTTTGCAAGATGCCCATGGATGCAAAACATGGATGCAAAAATAGGCAAGATATTATGAAACCTGCCCCTCCAAGAAATGGCCAGCTGCATTTCATGCACAGCCTCAGGTGATGGTAGCTTGAAGGACAACAGCTGAGGACCTTTGTAGGATGGAAGAATCAAGCTCCTGAGATGCCACTACTAGGGTCTAGTTTACCACAATACCCGGCAAGACATCCAAGGTATACACCTGCAGAGTGCAGCTGCACAGGCAGCCTACCGCCCGGCCACCTGCCAATCACTTTGGATTGAGCAACGACCTCATTTTTTGTCTTTCTTTTCTTTCTTGTCTTTCTTCTCCTTCTTCTCCTTTTTGTCCTTCTTTTCCGTCACTCCTTTTTCTTGACCTTCTTTCGCTTCATCGGCCCCTTTGGTTTCGTCAGTTTCTTTTGCACCATGGTTTGCTTGAGCTGGCTCCTGATTTGATTCAGCTGCGCTCTCAGCTGGAAGACTTGTACCAAGCTGAATTCGCCATGTTCTAGGGCTCATCAATCGCTCCACACCACGGTCAGTCTGGAAGCTCTCCAAACGCATGGCAACCAAACAACCGGCTAATGTAGTGGCCTTTCCATCTATCACCTCCAAGTCTTGATTCTCCAGGAAAGCCTTCAAATCCTCATGACCTATGCCATCATCATGGCCCTCCAGGCAGCCTGTTATGAAGTTGATCTCGTCTTCAGTGATATCTCCGAAACACACGTGGCTTCCAACTTGCAACTCGTCCTCTTTCAGCAGCCTAAACACTTCTGGCAATTCTTCAATTTGCGTTTTCCCACTGCGCTTCTTCTTGTCGACTGTTTTCAATGCTTTCAGTATGGGATCCGTAGTTTTGTCTTCATGCTCAAGCGACACCTTGACAACCAAAGAGGCAAGCTCGTCGGGATCCCTGGAACCTTGATTAATCTCACTGGCTAAGTCCACTGCATGCTTCGATATGACTTTATCCACAAGCTTGCGCAAAATGCCAACTGCAGCGGCCTCGCATGCAGCAGTTTTTTGTTTCTCCGGAACCCCTTCCTCTCCATCCTGTTGCTTCTCGAACAGTTCCAGGTCTCGGTGATACTTGGCCACTGCTGCTTGATGTGCATCCCATTTCTTCCTAGCTGCGTCAGATTCTTTTTGCAATGATGCCTTTTTCTTTTCATCGATCTCTGAGCCATCTTCCATCTTTGTTGGGACCCCTTTGCTGTCGAAATCACTATACTTTCCTTCATGTTTTCCACTTTTGAAAAGGTCTCCAGGGTCCACTAAACCTGAGTCATCACATACTTACATGCTGAATTTATTCAAACCAAGCTGACGGCATGCAGCATGCGGATTTTCTGCGCCTTTTGGTTCTTGTGGCTCTTTGGGAAACTTCATCTTCGAACTCTTTTCTGACAAAGGCACAGTATGCACATTTTTACGTACGACAGAAAACTGAGACTCTGGTTTGGGCGCACCAATCTTGACGCCATCCCAAACGGCCGGATCATCGCCAAGCCCCTGAAGCGCCATTAGGAGAGAAAATGACGAAAATGCTGCTATTTACATGCAATGCTTTGTGATGCCACCACTTCTGTTTGCAAATCCGTATGTTCTAGAAGCTAGAACATACTGTACTTATCTTGAAAACAATATGTCAACATGAAACCCACCAACTTGAATGCAAAAAATAATATCTCAGACTATCTACTACACCACACCTGCAGAGCACTTTTGTGAGTCACTTTTGCTTGACACTCTTCTAAGACACAATTGAAGAACACTCTTCTACGACACTCTTACGTGAAACTCTTGTCGGGCACCCTTGTGGGGCGACGCCCTTATAGGGCACTCTTGTGCGAAACTCTTGAAGCCACTCTTGTGCGACACTTTTGCTTAAAATTCCTGTGCGACGTTTTTGTGGGATCTCTTGCGCGACACTTTTCCAGTAGAATTTTGTGGGAAAATCTTGCTTGACACTCTAATGTGCACTTTGCAACACTCTTGCGTGGCATTCTTGCTGACACTGTGCGACCATTCTCCAACAATTTTGTTGAGCTGCCGGACGCCCTTCCGCAACACTCTCGTGAGACCCTCGCTTGATGTGCTTTTGTCGAACACTCTTGACACTCTTGCGGACTCTTGCGAGACACTCCTGTGGGACGCGCTTCTCGAATTTTACATGCAAGCCTTCTTCGCGTGAGGTCTGCAAAATGCAACCATGGTAACAAGGTGGTAAGTCAAGCGTATCTAGTCACTTACCCGTGCTTCTTAACTTTGCATTGCTAAACTTTACATTCAGCATAAGACATGTTCGTACACTCGTACGCAGAAATCGGAGGTGAACGTTGAATGAATGGATATGTTTGCCCACCAATTTGAGCGTACTTCTCAGTTTCAATGGCGAACACATCCTGATTAGGGATCTGAGGTTTGGCTGACCAGGCTTCGGCGAAAACCTAGTCAAACGAGTGATGATGCATTCGTCTTCTTGTACGTCGGGTACATCTCAGTTCCTTTCAGGAAGCGAACTATTTCACGAAGATTCACCGCTTGTTTTAAACTTCAGCCTGGTGGCTGAATTCTGGCCTCTGGTAAGTCATACACGTGAGTTTGTGGGTACTTCTTTGTGGCATCATGGATCCAAATGGGGAGCCAATTCCCTCCGGCTGCCACGCACACTGCTTCCCAACATCTCCAACACGCACAAAGCACTACGCCGACTACACCACACCTTGACATTTCTAGCACTTGCACAACACCATTGGAGTGGTCTCGACACTTTGCTCGCAATGGCTGAGACTTGTCATGAAAACACACCTTCGAAGCAAACCGTTCAAGAGCAAACCGCAATGGCACGGTAACATCTAACACCTAAAAAATAAAACAACTCAGAACGCCACTCCCAATGGCACAGCGACGCACAGTGTCCACTTCACAAAACTCTGCACCTGTATAGCAAGATCACGCCACTATTTCACATTGACCATAGCCCCATCATACAAACGGTTCACGACCCTTGCGAACACCAGATCAACATCAGAACACGGCTCTACCCCTAGAGCCCGAGAGTCAAAACAAAAGCCTTGGCTACACATTCGGTTAAAAAGTTGTACCCTTAAAGACAAGGGCAAAATGAAAGACAAAACCAAACAAGCAACAATACAAGCAAAAGTAGGTTGTGTTTGTCCGAGAGAAGTTTCCGCAAAAGAACATCGTGGACTTGTCGTCGCCTGATGAGCCCCGCAAAGCAGCTTTGCTGAGGGAAACTGACGAAGCTACTAGCGATGGCCTCCAGCCTCCAACCTAAGAGCCATGGCCTCCAACCTCATAGCGATGGCCTCTTCTTTTATATACGCGTTCGGATTGTTCGCACATTGGTTAAAAAGTCACATTCACTGTTGAACGGATCTTTGTCGTGCAGCCTGGGTAGTGGCCAGCCCGGCTGCTTTTTCCGGCACTGGTGACTGGTCCCACTTCGTTCGTGCTCTTATTGCAGCTCGGGTGAAGCCCTGCATGTTTGTGATGTTCGTTGCCTTGTTTGTGGCGCAAAGTGGTGTGGGAAATTGAAAAATAACACATGCACGAGAGAATACAAGCAACCAACGACCACCACCACCACCACCACAACAACAACAACAAGCACTGCAACGGGAAGTGCAGAAGTCCTGCTTTGGGTCAACACCTTTGAAGGATTGGAGGGATCGCTACTAGTAGCTTCTTGCTACTAGTAGAAATGCCAGGAGCTACTAGTAGCGTCCTTGCTACTAGCAGCGATGCCCTTTGTTACTAGTTAGATTTTGCAATTCCGAATTGTATTTTGCTCTTTTGCTTGGTGTATCGCATTGTCTTTTGCTCTTTGGGTCTCCTTTTGCTTTTGAAATGAGCTCTGGCGAACACAACACTACGTGCTTCCAAATAAGAACTCGTTCAACTAGGTTTAGGTATTAGACTTAACCAACCGTTGCTAAGCATTTCCTTTGGACCTGTCTCTGTTCATTGTGCTCTCTCTTCTCCTTCTTTTAGACCCATTTTCTGTGTCCTTATAGAAAGAACATGTCTTAAAGGGTTTTGGATCTGGGACTTGTTCTTCAGGCATCAGGAAGCATTCTGAGCTCGCAACCCTTAGTTTGTTCATAAGCGGTTGCTGTACTTCAAAGGATCCGAAGCACTTCGCCTGGATGCTGAATTTTAGTAGGCAATTTGGGTAAGCTGGCTGGATTTAAGGAGGGATTCAAGGCACCAAGAGGGGCAGTCTCCAAATGTGAAACAAATTATATAAGGTCCTCTATTCCTTTCAGCTTCTTGATCACATTCTTCTCCTGGGTCCAAACAAAACCAAAGCATCTAATTACATCTACATCTATATACAGGAAAGTAAGTTTGCATTTCTTGCGTATATAGAGCTCGTAGGATACCAGCTTGAGCAACTGTGGAAGCATGACCATAAGCAGCACTGCCGTCGCTCCGCCGTCCTTACGAACTTTGGGGTCCAATCTGTCGGCTGCGACTTGCGCAATCCTCAGAGCACAACAAAGCCTTGTTTCCATGAAGAAGCTACACACGGAGCTACCTCCAAATCAAACTTGACTTGGCTTTGTTTGCTGCTGAAGAGACTTAAGAGGGTTGGGGTGGCTCTTTTCATTTGTCTGTATAATTGTAGTTTGATGCTCTTTGTTCAAAACGACATAAAACGAAAGCAATAAAGCGCCCAGATCACCGGGCGCGCGAAGGCCAAAGTCCCAAGTGATCTGAGGCACCCACTCGTCAGACCAAACAGCTCTCGTGGTGTCTTCCGGCACTTCTTGGACAACGACCACCAAAGGTTCCCTGCAGTTGGCGCCGATCGTCAGGTTTTCTTGCTTTAGCAAAGTATAACAAAGTCTTCAAAGGAGTTTCAAAACTTGAAGCTGCAGCATGCTTCAGCCATCCAATACAGCAACCCTGCACTCGTTCACTGCTTCACCCGATGATAGTGTTACAACACTGATCTTGTTGATCCACTAAGCGATTGCTAACAAATGGACGAAGCTCTGAAAAAGTGGCAAGCCATTGACACCAAAGCAAACAACAAAATGTGCCTGGCAAAGCATGATATTGACTAGCTAATTATGTATACACTATACGTAATACATATATAATATATATATATATTTATGTATTTATTTATTTAGGTACATACACAACTTAAAGCCTGAGCATTTCTACTAGCTTCATCTAGCTTCTATATACTTCGTCCAAGTTTGCCTGAGCTTGCCAGCCCTATGCAGGCAGGCAAATGCCCGATGAAACCGGAGAGTTGATTTTCTTGGGATGCCGTTGTTGCACTAGCAGCATTGGCAAACACCACGACACTTGGCAAGGCAGTTCGAGAGGGTAGACACCATGGATGCATTCCGGCCACTCGAGCGACTTGCAAGACTGTCAGGTGAGTTCTTGCCAGAGGTGGTCAATTGTGAACGGCTCTTCACGAGAGGCGATGGCACTGGGATTGTGAAGGAGTTCCGACGTGGCTGAGGAAGGGAAGCAACTGCCTCTTTCAAGACCTCCACAACCTTCACGAAACGGCCTTCTTGTGCAGCTTTCAATGGTGTCAAGCTCCCATGCCCATTGACATTCACTTGTCGAGACGGGTCAGCACCATTGGCCAACAAGAGCTCCACCACGGCAACATGACCCTTGAGAGCAGCTCCACAGAGAGGCGTGCAGCCATTGGAGTCGGTGGCCTCGACATCTGCTGACGACCTCAACAGCAAACCTGTCACAGTCTTGTCACCTTGCCAAGCAGAAAAATGTATGGCTCGATCACCCTCTGAAGGCAGATTGGGGTCGGCTCGAGCCTCCAACAAAACGGATACCACTCGGGAGTCCCCCGCAAATGCGGCTTGTGTCAAAGGCCATCGAGACTGAACATCTGCCATGTTTGGATCTGCTCTCTCTGATAGGAGCTCCTGTACTCTGCTTGCATCCTCTGTGCAGGCATTCACCAAGCGAGTCGCCTTGTGACGCCTTAAAGTCTCTTCAACAACTTGACGGTCTTGCCGCTGCTGAGGTGGGAGCCAAGCTCCACCGCTCATGCCTCCGGATGGCCGCATCACACAGTAGCCATGCGTTCCACGCCCGAAACGATTGGGCAGAGTTGTAGATTACTCTGTTGAGTCTGAAGCTTGTTTGCTTGATTCTTTTTGATATTCTCTCTTGGCACTTGCGTAAACTACCATACCTGTGCCCCCGCACAAACAAACTGTCAATGTGGAGTTGACCTTCGACCTTGGAAATTGATCGTTTCAGCAGCCACTTTGCTTAGTGCGACTGCGAGCCACCAATGGCTAAGCAAGAGCACGCCATAAATCGGGGCAATTGCCAAAGCTATCCAAAGCTGCTCAAAAATCAAAAAAATAGAGCACAGCACTGCACCCACGTTCAAAATTGTTCCGACTTCAAGACTTTCTTCGCCAACAAGATTGCCTTGAAGTTGGAGACAAAGGTCGCAGGTGTTCCACGTCCTCCTGGGAATGCATAGAAGCCGGCAAATGCTCCTCTCAGGTTCTTGAGGCTCCGGCAGTGTACTGCACCTCTGCAAATTGTTCCAGGCAGTTCTTACGTATCTTGGAAAGCAAGTACGCATCGTACTTGGCTTTTTCTTTCTGCCACTTCTCCCACCTTGGTTCATTCATTCATGTGCAAAAGGTTTCTCGGCTTGGAAAAGAAAGGTCCCAAACGGCTTCTGCAAAAGGGCAAGGTCCTGAAGCAAACGGTGCCCAGTGCCAATCTCAAATTGGGCAATGCACTGCGGCTACTGGCGATGTCCTTCTTCAATCTTGCCCTTGTCTTCTTGTCCAAGCTCTCACCATCTGCATCAACAATGGGAACCTGTCATGGAGTCTGGAAGATTTGTGTTTTTATGAATACATTGAGTAAGAGTGGGACGCCATCCGCACCACATTCTCCGTAGTCCTCACAAGATGGCACTGAGCATGTGGCATTCACACCACACTGAGCCAGGTGCTGCCAGCAAGGAAGCTGGATCTGTGGGTGCTTCCCCAGGATCTGGTACTTCAGCATCGCCTGTTCACGGCAAAACAGACCTGCAATTTTTGTTCATAAAAAAGCTACTAGGAACAAGTGCATCGCTCCTAGTAACAAATGCCTTACTACTAGTAACAAGAAGCTATTTATTTAATTGGAATCAAAAACTCCTCGCATTGCAATTCCTCACGTGGCCGACTTTCACGTTCCACTTTGACATCCACTGTGTCGGGCAGACTGCTTCCGGTCCCTCCTCGGCTTTGCTTCTCCTTTTCAAGCCTAATTTCATTCGCGGTCAAGACGCTGCGACCGAAACATGTCGACACTTGGGAACACACGCTTTCCACGATGCCACACGCTCACCCACCTCAGGTTGGAAGTGATCGACTACAGTGCAGATTCCGAACACTGGAAGGCTTGTAGTATTTGGTAATATGATTTGCATATTGTTGATGCGAATGGTGCAAGTAAAACTAAAGGCATCTCAAGCATCACAGCACAAGTTTAGTTCACTGAAGCTGCCTGTACGTAGCAGCAACGCATGGTTTTGAGAAGCACCCTCCACGACAGCAAGGATACGCGCTCAGGGTTGGATGGTGGATTGCGGAGCTGGACACATGTGCAGCGATCAAGTACATTGATGTTTCGAGGTCGCGAAAAGCCAGCCATGTGTCCATTTTGAGCACCTTGCACATCTCAACAAAAAAAGTCCTCAAAAGAAGTAGTATGAATTTGTCATACGTAGGTCCGTAGGTAAGTATGGTAAGTTAGGGCAAAGTGCGACCAGCAAAAAGGGACCTCAATATGTGCCAGTAGATGGTTATGAAATGGATAGAGGATGAGACGACCTTGTCAAGTACGTGCACCAAGGATCACCAAGGTGTGTAACAAATGCTCCTTGCAATTATATATATATATATACTCCACATCTGGCTCCACTGCCAAGTTTTGTAATGCAATAGAGTCGGGATGAACACAAAGAATGCATGCCAACTCTTCAAAAGCTGCACTCCAGCGAGGATGGCACTGCCATGGTGGTGAACACCGGATCATACGCGGGAAAGATCCTCAGTAGCTATGCAAAGCTGAACCAAATTTGAGTAACATGCCAAAGGTATTACACCGAGACGCTAATGGGATCTTGACAAGAATGGAATTCGATCTATCAGATTCTATCAGTTTTTGGAGAAACTCTTCGCAAGGCACAAACACACACTTACACACCTCCAGAGGTCCCAGTAATGAAGCTTCTTGTTACTACTAGTAAGGCACTTGTTACTGAAGCCAAAGGCAAAATCTGCCCTGGAAACCACTTCGAAATCCTTTGCTCCGAGGACTCTGGAAACAATCCCACCATAGGCGCCCTGGTTGGATGTCTCATCACCCCGGCAAAACAACAAGGATACATATTCGCAAAGCCTCACAAGAGTCTATCCAATCATGTGTGCACCTCCTAGACTGCATCGACGTCACTTGGCTTCTCTGCTTCGCAATGCCCATTGGTCACCGGTCGGTGCACAACGATTGTCATGGCCCATCACGGAGTGATAACCCATCGTCAAATGAAACAGTGGCACTGACGCAACTTGAAAAACGCATGATGATGCAAGTCTCATCATACTCTCCCTCCCGCTAGCTGCTCTAGCTGTACAATACTCTTGGGTGAGGGATCAAAACAAAACAAGTACAGCATCAATAAACAAAAATCGACGGGGATCAAAAATATAAAGGGGATCGAACAACTTATTCCCAGTGAGCAATGAAAGGAGAAGAAGACTAGGGAAAGGACAACAACAGCAGGGCGGGCGACCAAAGGACCATGAAAGGATGACTGCGACCGCAACAAAACACAAAAAAAATTGGCGAGGGTGTGCAACACCTGCTGTGTGGATATTCAATGGAGGGACCTTTAAAGTCGGTCGTGGCAGCCCAGGGAATTGGCCAAAGTCGTGCAGATTTCGTGGCGCCGAAGCGGGGCTGCAAACTACAAAGCCACCAAACGCTGGAAGCACCACAAAATACATCATCATCGAAAACTACACACCGTATTGCCCAATCAACAAGGGGCCCATCCACCACAGGACAGTGAAAGGATGCTGGCAGCCACGTGCAACACAAAATCAAAAAGGCTTAGGCGAGTGCGCGCACTATTTTGTGAGAGCGATGGGTGCGTGGGTGACCTTTATGACACGGTCTCTCGCTCTCTCACATGAGCCCTCTACTCACAGGCGACACCTTCCCGGTGTGTCTGGAGCTGTGAGCGTCTTGAGTGAAAAAAGTTCAGCCTCGACCTTCGTTCGCTCAACTGTCGTGTCCCTTCGCACAAGGCTTTTTTGTGCTACAAAACATCTGCCGTGGTAGGCCCAGCCAGCTCATTGGCAAAAGTAGTGGCGCTGGAGAGGGGTTGGGCGCCTCCCCCCCAGAAGGAACCAAACATGAAAAGCCATCAGACTTAAAAGGCCACAAAATAGATCAATAGATCATCATCGAAAACTACACACCCCATTGCCTCATCAATGAAGGGCACTCAAAAAGTGACGCAAGGACCAAGGCAACCGGGTAGCGCTTTGCTTTCGCAAACCTCGTGTTTTTGACCAACATTGACCAATGGACCACGAGGCCAGCAGACCAGGAAAGGGACCACGGGACCAAATGACTAGGGCGGCCCCAAAGGACAGGGGATGAAAGGACCACAGGACCAAAGAACCAGGGACCAAAGGAGCAGGGGACCAATGGACCAGGGGACCTTCCCTTTGGACCAAAGAGCGAGTCCAGGAGACCGAAGGACCAGGGGACCAGCGAACCAGGAGACCAAGGGCCTTAGGGGACCACTAGACTCGAAGACTGGATGTGTTGTTTTGATCCTTCACAGTTTATATCTTTTGATCCAGATGCCAATATTCTTGGCGTTCCTCTCACAAATTCCGCAAACGTGGTCTTGGTCGCTGCATGTGAGCTTCATTGCCAAGTGGCTCATTGTCGAGGAAGGTTCCCACATTATTCTCAATCGCTGCATCCGGGGTCTGCAAACATACGAAAGCACAACGCTAGAAGTTGCTTTCCCCAGCTTGGTCTTTCCGGCACACACCACTGAAAGGGTTTAGGGTTTAGGGTTTCCTTGTGTCGTTTTGGCTTTTCAGTGCTACGGTGTGCTACGGGGTTCCGGTATGGCCCCAGGTCTCCAATGCACCAAGTGCACTGGCGCCAACTCTCAGCGGCCTCTAAGAAGCGCTCGACGATCCGTTGGGAAGCCACGCTGGTTTTGGCACCTAGCAGATTCTGCTAGCGAAGATCTTCCAAAAAGACGAAAGCGCTCTACAAAATGGCTTTAAATCGCTTGAATGTTGTATGGTCAGCTTGAAACGGGCCTCCTTTCTTAGAGCCAGGTTGCGAACTGGGCTCGTTGCCTGGAAGTTGAGGCGCTGGCGAATCGGCGCATCTCGTTGCTTGAAAAAGCCTAAACTTGGGCTCAGACTCACCGGCTCCCTCAGCTCAGACTTTAGTTTTCAACAGGCAACCTGTGGTGCTTTGGTATTCCGATCTGGGAAGCTAAGAGACACACTCTACATCTGGTTTTCCTGGTGACAAGAAAACGAAATGCTTTGAAAGCGCTGTCAAGATCTGGGCACCTTCATCATTGTCATCACCCAACGAGGTCGCACAAAGGCAGCAGAAAAGCCTTCGGCAACCTCCAACTCCAAAGTAAGACGGAGTCACTTCAACGTTCGTGACCGTTTGCAAGCTGACTTGGCCTTTGGGCTTCAAGTCTTCATGCTCGTCCAGGTAGAGACAGCGATTGTCTTTCAGAAGCCGCCAAATCCTTGTCTTTTCCAAATGCTTCGCTTAAACTCCAGACGTTCTAAAGTCCCAAGGGCCACACCAATATTGGCCCAGGGCACCAAGAAAACCACAAGCCTGAACCCAAAAATCATGAGCCAAGCATAGCATGTTCTGTCTAAACTATTTGGGATCCGTGCTCCAGCAAGCATCCAACCAAATCCAATATCCGAGTTCTTTGTCGCGAGGCCACCACAAACCTCAAAAAGAATTCTAAGGTGTCACCCATGATCCATGAGAGCTGTCCAATTGGCTTGATCAAAACATCGCCTGGTCCTGTGCGACTTGCCAGTCATCAAAGACCTGGGAATCAAAAGCGGCTGGGCTAAGCTTGGCACTTTCTATGGCTCGTGCCTGCTGACAGTCCAGGCCAGATTGAAGGTCAGCAAGACTTTGAAGACTTACAACAGCCTTGCACCGTTTCCAGAAAGCTGGTGGACATCACCACAAGTGTGCTCACTGAGCAAAGGCAAAACTGTTGACAATCAATTGGTATAGCAAGTGCATACAAGTTCAGAATAGTTCAGAGGTCTATGTGCTCATTGATGGGCCGAAAGAGCCTGTAGCTCCGCCTGCATGTTGTCCCAAGCGCCACCAGATTGACTGAGCAGTTGCAAAAGACTGTGCTTCAATGTCTTCCTAACGTCTAGTCACTTTGAGCATGTTGCAGCATCAACCGCTACTCCTGAGTTTGAATGTCCTACCTGCCGAAGGCTTGGTAAGCGTTTCCTATACTGTAGCTATCCAACCAGCGCACTGCGCACTGGCCTGAGTACTGGAAGCTCATTCGAGATATCTTGCCTGCAATTCTCAGCATCTCAACAGGTTGCTGTGGGCCCTGCTGTCGCAAACAAAGCTGCACAGCCAATCCATCGCACCCTGTTTGAAAGGCAAGCTGAACCAAGGTCTGCATATTCGTCTGAAACCTTGGGAAGTGGTATGAAGGATCAGGTCAAAAAGCCTTAAATCAAGCATCCCTCACATTCTGAAAATTGACTTTCAGGTTTCTGAAATGAACAGTTTGATAGGGTTTGTGGTTCGGAGCCACACGTCGGCCAATCACAAGAGGAGCTCGAGGGTGCCTGTGGTTCAAGGCGCACTCACCCAAGCTGAAAAATATGAAAAGCTGAAATAAAAAGACAACTTTTGCAGCCTGCGATGCACTCACCCAAGTGTAGCAGGTGTAGGCCTAGCAGTTTTACGTTTTGAGAATGCACAAGTGCGCTGAGCTGGCATGGTTGTCCAATTCACAGTTGGAGCTGGTTGAGGCCCTGGCCGCCGCTGAGGGATCTGCTGGTGCATCTGTTTGTGGTACAGCCGCCTGGTTGCTCAATGTCTGGTACCTATCACAAAAGAGGACGGAGCGAAAGCAAAGAAACATGAGAAATCATGGCCAAGAAGCAAACGTGAGAAAGAAGTAACACAAAGCGAGTACTCGGCGAGGATGGTGGAGAAGTCCATGCTCAAAACATTGGCCAATTCTGTTTGCATTGTCGAAAGTCCCTGGACTGGCACAGACAGCCTAGCGGAGTGTCAGGACTCTCAGGACATCAGAGTTGCAAATAAATAAAGGCTTAGTGGACAACCACAAATCTGGGTGCAAAACCCCAGCAGAGGATACAAATCTCGTCCACCTGTCACATCACCTGTGCAAGCCTCAATGCAATACTCATGAACATCAATCCTGGAAAGCCTTTAGATTCCTCAATTCTTTGGATTACTCAGGCATTCACCAGAGATGCCGACCTCGCAGCCACAGCCTCCAAATGAGGAGGCTTGCCAAAATCACAGAGACTTGAGCAAGGTTTGGATTTCAAATCATGCTCAAACCACCTCTGCAGAGCTTCCATCAAGCCCAAGGAAAACAAACCTGCCGCTGCGTTGCTTTCAGGCAAAGAAGTTATTGTCTTTCGAAATGACATCTTGATATGCATCGCAACCGGCATTTTAATGCTTCAAATGTGATATGGGAATTTGTACCTTCGACTGCCACTGTTTGATTTTGTCTGGTTGCATGTCATGTTGGTCCACGTGAGGCTGCTCCAAACCATTAAAAAATACAATTCAAAACAGTAAATCTCTGCCTACAAAATACATCCCTGCCTAGAACATGAAGGGATAGTTTCTTCAAGGAGCCGTTCCCTTCTGTTTGTTCCTTGCTTTATTCTTCAATAGAATGCAGTTCGTACTTGGGGTCTTGGGCATCCTGAAGTGGCAAAGGGAGACCGGCACCTTGTGATTCCTTCTGTTGTTCCCATGCTCTCCATCATGATGCACATCCTTAGAATGATCTTTCAAACTAGTTGAACTCAAACTCCAACCCAAGAAAACACACCTCTGTTCACTTACTGTACTCCTTCCTCTGCCTAAGTCGTCAACTCCATGCTGACAAATGCATGTGCCTGCCGTTGACCGCTCCAAATCCGAAAAAAGTTGACACAAAGGCAATCAAAGGCAAAGGAGTCCTGTAAAGGTCAATTATTTATAGTAGCCGTTTTCCACTTCAGAGTAGCCTGAACCCATGCAAACGCAGGAACACCAGCACTAGTTCGGATGTTGCCAAGATTTGACGGGATATTGAAGGTGAGGCGTTTTCAGAGTGACCCGATGACATGAACTGACTGCATGCAGGCATCAATTGGTAGTAACAGCTTTGTGCTTGGGACAGTTGTTGGCTCTGGAATGCTGTTCGTTGAGACAGTCTAAATTCGTGAAAGTTAGCGTCCGACGTGCACTCAGAGTCGTCTCCTCCTCCTCCTCCGCCTCCTCCTCCTCCTCCGCCTCCTCCTCCTCCTCATCATCATCACCATCATACACATCAGTAGTGTTGCATCATCCGCATATTTGCATCCTGATTGCTGCAGCTCAAGGTCTTTCAACCCTGCAATGCCAATCCCCAATCCCAACTGCAGCTTGCTCAAAAAAGTGCTTGAGGATGATCAACCGCAGCTTGCTTCTTTGAGGGCCAAGGGTGGTAGGCCGTGAATGTGGGTTAAGTCGCTACTAAGCTAGGAAACTTAGGCTACACCTCACGCTTAATGATTTGGTGTCTTGATTTTTTGGGAAACTTAGCAGATGTGGCAAGGCATGTAAGGGGCCATCAGCATGGCCAGCGCAATGTACTTACTGTGGTCCTAAAATCAGTAAACTGGCCATGTCTTTACCCCACATGAACTGCTTCTCAGTAACGTTGGAACAAAGCAAATCGGGAGCCAATGGAGGACTAAGCACTTCACAAAACAGAGGGCCCCGGACCAGCTGCCACCCGTTTCCTGCCCATATTAATAGATGTTCTTTTGTAGCCATGGGCATCAAGAGAGAATACCATGGAGTGATCTTCTTACGCTGCACGTGCAGGGTGGGTATTATGTCTTGCCTTTGAGCAAATCACCCAGGTTGATGGTTTATTTTGTCAATACCTTGCTTGTGGCTTGGATGATCCATCGCCACGTCTCTTGATCACTGGCTCTTGGTTTCAAGCCAGAAGCTTTCTCTGAGCTTCCTGCAAAGCTTGCAAGGCTCAGCCCAGCTCCCAGAAAAGCACCAAGGCAGCCTCCACACCTACAACGGAGCCAGTCCAAAGACACGTGCAGGTGTTTGCATGTGTGTGTGTGTGTGTGTCTGTGTGCGTGTATTTGTGTGTGTGATGGTTTGAAGTCCGTCTGTGTTCCCGGCCAACCAAAGGCTGCCCATTGAGGTGCAGGATGATCCTGGCACAGAATATGCTCATCCTCAAACCCAGAATGTTCACAAGAAAATGACTGTAGTGAGAACAGTCCACCAGGCACCACATTGTTGAGTGGGCAGTGGGCAGTTTGTGCAACGAGTCCTTTCGGTCAATCTTGCATCTTCGCAGGCAGCAGCACCAATGCAAACTGTAGAAGATGAACAGGATTCCAATCTGCAGCAGGGGCCACGTGCTGCTTGGCAGGTAGCTTGTGAATTGGTCAAAGTGTAACGTGTGGACGGTCTTCAACTTGATTATTCAAGATTGCACGTTCACAATGCAGGGAGGATGGTTCCCTTTTGCTGGCGGACGCATCCAAAGGTCGTATGATTCTTTCTGATCAGGTCTGCGCAATCGACGAAAAGTTATGGAAATGCGATGGCCCAAGGGCAACTCTGTCTCTCCATACCTGAAAGTGGCGAATTGATCAGCGCAGCAAGGACAAGTAGTGACGCATCTCGGTAACACAGCAAGACAATGTTGGTCCAGCGATCAAATTCTGCAATGCTGCCGATGTGGTCCCGGCTTGATACCATGCTTCCACTTCCACCGTACATTTCCAGAGAAGACATAGACGGATCCCTCCTGAGCAGGAAGTCTTTTGCAGTTCAAATAAAATATGAAGTGATTAGTGTTATAGACAGTGATGTGACTCGTCAATTGGATAGACGCGCTCTAAGACTGTAGCCGCTAAGACCTCGCGTTAGTTTCGACAGAATATAGATGAATATTCTATAGTATGCTGACGACACTGTACTCCTTGCAACCAATGCATAAACAGAATGCTCTGGCTTGTAGAGCGTATTTCACTGCAATTTGGACTTTGATAAATGCCCGTGCATTATTGCTATGAATGGGAATTATATAGTCAGATGGGAGAGCCGCTGCAGTGCCATGCCACAAGTTAGGGTCTCTCGAAGTCACTTAAACTGCATAGCACATATTTGCACTTTGCTTAAATGGTATAGGGTGTCAAGGATGCTTGTGTGTGTGTGTGCGCGCGCGCGGTCGCTCTCTTAGAAATTCTGACGATGTGCCATGTGCAGGAGAACCACTTGCCTGCCTTGCAGCCGATTGCATGTTTTTGATGCTGTGTTTTGGCAGGTAGTGTCTTTTACATTCCAACCGAAACACTTTCCATGCAAACGCTAAAAAATCGTGCATAAAGCGTCGCAGGCTGAAACTTCAACCTGTAATGCTCCGCCATAACTCACTTCGTTCACAAATTCTTCGTTCGCAAATATCGAAGTTCAGCCTACTAGTGGCCCGGCGGACTGACTTTCGTAACTGGCGAAGAACCAGTAACAGTAATTTAGAGTCTGGAATTTACACTGACAAATATATATATAATATATAATTGTGTCCACACTCGTCTTGGTTGCGCGTCCTCCAGCAGCACATGTTGGCAACGGCTTGCAAAGGAATCCTGATGACTTGAAACAGGTTGAAGTGTCCACAAAAGCGTGTCATTGTGTAAACAAAGTGATGCAGTGATGCATTTCAAATTCAAATTGGCCTTACAGTACACTACACTGAGAATACGACTTCACCTCTTGTATCCAAAGGCTCCAGGTCCATGACCTCAAGCTCACGAGATTGTCCTACAAGTACCCAAACTCTTCAATCCACTGGAGGTGTGCAGTGCTTTGTCAGGGTTGTTGACACCGCTATTGACATCAGTAGCAGGTTGAAACTAGTCTTTCATTGAGTTTTGAGTTGTCTGACAGTCAAGTACACAGCTCAGCCTAAGCACAGCAGAAGCGCCCAAACTGAACCCAACAATAATATCCTCAGTCAATGCACAAAGCACATGCACCTGAGGCTTGAGGGAAGTGCACGTGAACAGTCTCTTGGCAAAGGATTCCGATGCCCAGAATCATCAAAGTTTGCCCGATCAACATGCATCCGAATGCCCTCAGAGCCTTGCAAAGGAGCCGCTCTCTCAGATGCGTCAGGGTTGACTAAGTCTATGCGCCTTCGGCATAAAAATTCACAATTGCTTGGTCAAAAGCATATCCTGGTGGCAAAATACCTCGGTTCACAATGCACACACACTATCACTTGGCCACGTTTTATAAACGTTGCAAACCCTGTTTGATCATCTGGTGATTGAAACTGTTTGAAACGGTTTGAAAGGCAGCGGTTCAATACTTTTCCAAGGTGCCAAGGTCGCGAAGCCTGTCCAAAGCAGGTAAACAAATCTCGGGGAGACTAGCTTGCTGATCTTGAGTTTCCGGAAGCCTGGGTAGCAATGGCAAAAGATTGAATCTCCTTTCCAGGCTTGTTATTGTCCAATGCTTGCAAGCTGCCAGCAGTGTGCCCGTGGGAATCCATGCCAGTGCACCTTGACATGGAAACACGGAACCACTCAAGAGTCTTAGGGTTGTTAGACTTGTACAGCACACAATCAATTGACATGTTCATTACGCTGTGGGCACCCCCGGAGACGCAGCTGGTGGACGGCCAGACGAGAGAGTTTCACCTCTAGGACCCGCTGCCACAGAGGCCTCTAGCAATCTCACCTGGAAGGGGCAAAACTTGAAACACAAAAGCCAACAGTTCAAGCTCAAAAAGGAAACGACACAAGAACAGACGAAAGGTGAAAGCAAGAAAACAACAAGTAGTACGAAAATTCCGTTTGGGGCCTCTTCATCTAATAAGAAATTGCGCAAATGCGTGAATCCTTCCTCAGCTAGCACCCAAGGGTGCTTGCACATGTTGGTTGATCAATATTATAGTGGCCATTCATGGCGAAACAAAACTAACGCGGATCTTTCGCGGTCTCATCGCGAAGCGTGATCCTGAAGAACATGTCTAGTTAACGTGCATTTGAACTGTAAAAAAAGCAAACCTACTGACCGGCCTCGCGCAACATGATCTACACGCAAGACTAAGAGCCAACCCTGGTGGCAGAAACCAACATTGGGTAAGGCGGCTGTTGGAAGTTTGGAAACGGGACTTTAACGACACATTTGCAGAGCTTTCGGGATCTTTGCGAAATTTAGTGCCTTCCTACACAAGCATCTGCACAACCTGTCAGAGCTGTTGATCGTTGCCCCACTGTCAGGGCTGTGCAAGGTTGATGCAGCTGCAATTTGGTGACAGCGGGGGAAGGAATCCGAGATTTCTTTGGTGAATTCATTCAAAGTTGCTCCGTCCCGTTCCGTTTTGCAGCGTTTTGCACATGGACCTGTGTAGGTATCGTTTTGCACCTAAAGTTGAGATATCTAAATCGATATTTTTTTGGATGTCCCGTATCGTTTCCACGGAAAAGTCAATCACAATCTTGAATGAAACACCCTTGTATAAAGTTTGTAAATGGCCATTTATGGTTTTGAAAACGACTCAAGTAATGGTTCGTGAAAACCCAAGCCTTCCAAATCTGACGAATCATAAGATTCCAAGCTGCTGCATGCAAGTCGAGTGGTGATTCTGCAGATCGCTCAGCTTCCACTGTCACCATTGCAGGAAATTCTTGACATTCTGTAACCATCATAACTTGTGTATCTCGGTCTCTCTGAATCTGAAGAATGCAGTCTGTTTTCAGCAAAAGCAAAGCTTTGCTTGGATGCTGAGTCTTGATATTGTCACATTTGATCCCAAAATCAAAGGGCTGGCAGAGGTCACTGTGAACATTCGGTCGGAAAGAATGTCCGATTGGGACAAAGCGCAGCGCACCCCGGCAACTGGGACAGCCCCAAATTCAAATGCCATGCCGACCAGCTCCAGCCTAGCATTTTCTGTTTGAAATGGTTTCAACGTGCTTCAAAATCACTGAGAATGAGACGTCGAATCATTAAAGAACTCCGCGCCGAGTATAACCGCTGGTACCTTTGCTTTACAGACCACTTGTAGGATCCTTCTATATAATCCAATTTGAGTCCAAAGCCGGGCCAGCTTCCACCGAAGTTTGCAGCAGGGCAATCGCATTGCCTGCACAAGAAATGACACAGAACCACCGCGTCGATTCATCCACCCAGCAACAGAACCCTCTCACCTGCGGTTGTGGCTGCGTTGCGAAGAGCAGTGATTCGGGACCCAGTTTCTTCCTGGCGGTAGCCCAGCACCGAGCCCACCCCAGGATGCAGATGGGTGGTGCCAGCTGAAGGGATTTTGAGAAAAGGATGCTTTTGCCTCGTAGTCTACTCTTCTCAAGCGCCTGGAAATCATCGTGAAGGCTGACAACGGAGCCCACATTGCCACCCTGCGCATAAATGCGTCCACCGATGTGGCAAAGGCATGGACTTCATCAGTCCATACTTGTGATTGACCACGGGCACCTCCACTTTCGAGAGCAGCTGGGGCACCAAATCTGCCTGGCTATGCTACAGCACCCCTGGTCACAACCAAGATGGAAAAACTTTGCCTGAGATCCGCAACAACTCTGACAGAACTGGCACCTTACGTTGTGAGGCCGAACTGATTTTCGTCTGTGTTTTGCTGAGGCCGTTGCGTAAACCCATCCACTGTGATCTGGTTTCCAAGCGAATCTTGGATAAGCCTCCACGAGTCACATCTGCTGGGACCAGCTCAGCAATTCGGAAGAGGAAATTGGATTGAAGATGATTGAACTCCATAAGTTTACTGGATGTTCCAGCTGCTTGGGGTGTTGGCGGCAGTTTTTGTTGTTATTGTGATTGTTACTGTTATTGTTATTACTATTATTATTGTTATTGTTACTATTGTTGTCGTCGTTGTTGTGGTTTTTCTTGTTCTTGTTGTTGTTGTTGCTGCTGCTGCTGCTGATGTTGCTGCTGTTGTTGAGGGTGCTGTTGCTGTTGTTTCGTAAGTAGCTGGAGCTGTTGGACTTGTTTCACTGGTCTGGGTTGGTCCGTTTTTTGTGTTTTTTAGCTGTTGTTTGGGGGATTGTTGAAAAAGCTAAACAGGTAGGAGGAGGGGGTAGAGACAACAACACCCTTTCAGGAGCTGCAAAAGCAACCACAGGCTCCAGCTTTAGTTCCTAGGATTTGCTATAGGTTCCTAAAGGGTCGTCGCGTAGCAGCAGTAGCAGTAGCAGTAGCAGTAGCCGTAGCCGTAGCCGCAGCAGCACCAGCAGCAGCAGCAGCAGCAGTAGTAGTAGTAGTAGGTTACGACCTGGTGGTACTACTACTCCACTGGTACTACTTCTTACGACGACGACGCCGACGACGACGCCGACGCCGACGACGAGTACTACTGCTAATGCTACTGCTACTGCTTCTGCTACTGCTACCAATAATAAAAATAGTACAGTAATACTACCGCCACTACCCCTGCTGCTGCTCCTGCTGCTACTACTACTACTACTACCACCACCACCACTACTACCAGTACTAGTACTAGTACTGCTACTTGTGGGCACAGCTTTAGTTTCTAGGATGAGTAGAGACAAAGTAAGCTGGGTGATGACGGGGCTGCAGTTGCTTGTAACCTTCATGTTGCCGTTGCTGCTGCTGTTGTCGTTGTTGTTGCTCTTCTCTCGCATGGAGTGATGTGAGTCCATCACACGCATCTCCTGTACAGGACAGCATCAGGTTATACACAGTATATAAGTCATCAAAGCGGCCTGTTTGGAACGTCAGTGGTAGCTGTGGGACATGCGCACTGCTCACACTAATAATTCCACCTCAGAAGTGCGGCAGACTCTTGAATCGATGCGGTAGCACCGCCATCTTGGCTGGCAGCCTGAGGCAAGAATCAAAGAACGCACACAGCATACAGGAATATGAATAGACAAAGAATCAAAGACAAATAGACACACAGTGCCAATGATACCGCCAGAAATTTAAAGCGCGCCCTTGAAACAAGCTTCACTTGGCCTGAGCAGCGGTCGATGCCAGGGAGGTCACTGCCGTGGATACAGCTTGCACCTGAAATCGGGCATGCTTGTGGGAATCAGAATCATAAGAATCCTTGCAGGCATTGCTTGCAAGTAGTCTCTCACAATTTTGCCTGTTGGTAAGCTTCAGCTAGCCCCATGAAAGAGGCCTTAGGTTTTCAAGAGTACTATACGATGTAATTTCATCGCAACACAACAGGGCTGGCACAAACTGTGATCAGACAGATGTCTATAGACAAACTTCTCTGTAGCAGCAAAAAAAATCAAGGGATCAATCGGACCAATGGTGGCAATTCGGTGTTGGGTGTCAATGTGACTCCATGCAAAATTGTGTTGAGCAAAACCCTGGTAAAGCTGCGTGGTAAGATCGCCATCGTGGATCAAGCTGGGGACGTTCTTCTGCAGCAGACTCTAGAGGCAAGAATGAAGAAATATGGAGAAATCTATACAAAGGGTTCAAGAAATAAAGAAGAAAGGAAATAAAGGAAAAACAAGCTACACTAGACTCTGGAAGTTTGAGAGAGCTCTAGGGCACAAGCTTGAAGCCTCCTGGTTGAGTTAGCACCTTCCAACACGAAGACCGTAACCATGAGTTCGGCGGGCTCTGCCCATTCCAGGCCGGGTCTGCTGTTCTGCCTTGAGGTGGCTCTGTGGTCACTGCGACGCTGCCGGAGCTGCCGATGGCCGCAGTGTCCCCCCTGTCGTCGATGGCAGTACACAGCAGTACTCGATCGGTACAAAGCATCCATCTCAGGGCTTTGTGGTGGCTGAGGTCGGTACAGAGCTGATTTCAGGAACAACCTCAAAGACTCAAGATGAATCATTGGACACAACAAAAATCATTGGACATCCATCTTTCCGATCTGAGGGTTGCCTGGCTGCACAGTCCGCATCCTGGTAAAGTGATGGTCCTTCTTTCAGGTTTCCCATGACACCTCAATGCCAAATTGGACAAACCCAAATGCCGGAAAACTCTTCAAGAACAACTATCTGTGGCCTGCCAGTGGCAAAACTGCCATACCACCGACCCCAGCAACGGAGAGAAGGAGGATCAACGTTTTCTTTACTTTCCCTGGGTCAGTGAGCCATTGGCACACGTCCCGCATGCGCTCAATCCGGTACTGATATGTACTGTAGAACTCCGGCCTATGGATCGCACCTCTGGTGCTTCTCTGCAGCACCTCGCTGCCACAATGTGCGGAAGTGCCTAGTGGCCTGGTGACTGTGAAAGCTCTACTCAAGAGCTGCACCGGCAGCAGCATCTCCGACAACATCTACACAACACCTGAGCATTGTCACAAACAAGGGCCCAAAGAAGAATCATCAAGGACGATCGGAGCGGCACCTTGCAGGCTCCAATCGGCCAGCACATCAAAACAATGCCCAAAATAGCCTCGGCCATTGTCAAGAGAAAAAAACAAAGATGCAATTGAAGAAGTAATTCAGCTTCCTGTGTTATCAAACTGTTCAGGGTGTCTTCAGACTGGGATTCTGGCTAAAGCACCAGGACCCATACCCGACAGGGTGCCACCAATTGCACCCCATATCAGGTAGGACATGTAACCCTGCAAAAGCAAACCAACTGCTCATGTTCTTCCAAAACCTGCAGCTTGAATGTTTTGCTTGCTACCATCTTCCAATCGTGCCACTCTCAGTGTCAGACACAGTCAGCAAGTACCAGAAAAGCATCGAAACTGGTCGTCTGCCCGGCATAGCTCCCACGGTCAGTGCGGGCAATCTCATTGACGATGCTACATGTCTCATCATTCATTGCATTCAGCAAATCCTCTGAAGGACAACCTTGAGCTTGAAGTCTTCTGTGTCTTCTGAGCAAACTGCCAACCAACTTCTTTTTGAGATAGTGCGTTGGTTGAATGCTCTGAAAATCGCTTGGTTGTGATGGAAAATCAGACACGGAAGGACGAGATCCACCAGTGCCATTCTCAGGAAAGCAGTTGGGACAGAAACCAGCTCCATCCCACCCGGCTTTGGTTGGGGGAGTCTCCTCAGAGCTGAATTCATCAATGAATTCTCTCTCTTCTTCAAAGCCATCTCTGCCACTTCGCAAACCTGCAATTTGCACAAAAGTCTGCTTTTTTGGAAAAGTCGAGCTCATCCAATGACCGCTGAAAAGACTCGTTGCCCCCTGCTGACAAGGTGCTTTGTTGCCCACTGGCTGACAGGCGCTTTCTCTGAGCTGAGTCTTGCAGGGTCTTTGTCTCCTGGTGACTTACAGTAACCAATTCAGAATTCATAAACGGGCCTGTTTTACAAGTGGCTGCGGTCATACTCTTAACTCCAGGACACCAAAATGCTGCACTGAGCTCCTCAGACTGTGGTTTGTGGTGGCTTTGCACCAGTGACTTCTGCAGAAAGTGCTTGGAACGCCGCCTGCTCAGAATTACTATCTACCGAAATGCTGCACGTCAAATGCAAGTGTGTAGCGCAGCTGCAATTAGTGACAACGATGCAAAAAGCTCCAAAATATCCAAACCTCTCGTCGAGCAGGTCGCCTGAAAACCAAAACAAACAGCTCTGGAACGACACTTTCCAATTATATATATATATAATACACTTTCTGGCCAGTCCGGAGAGGGGGTAGGGAAGGAAGGTCACACAGGCTGTGGAAGTTGCACTGCATTGCTGACATGCAACCTTTATGAGGAAATGGGATGTAAAACCGTGGAATCGACAAGGCCCCGCAAGTGGAGTTCATTGACATTCTTCCTGCCAAGCAATGGAGAACTCGGGTAGTTACAGCTGTAACTCCAGCTATAACTACAGCTACCTTCCGTGAATTGACCTTCGACGTCTGACTTTCGATGTCTCGTCACAGTCCAAGCCAGTCTCCCAGCCTGAGGGCTGAGACTCAGCCGCCTGAGCAGTCTTTAAGAAAAACACTGCAACCAATCTAGTTTCATTGGCTCTGAGTGGTTTATATTCAGAGTTGTTGTAGTTGCGTCTGAGGGTTTACAAATTCCACAACACCGAGCCCTGCAGGCTCATGGCATCAAGGCGGCCTCAACGCAGAAGGCATGCAAGCACAGCGCCAAAACAAAGGGCCTCCTGCAGTTCCAAGGACAAAGGACAGAACGATGCAAGCGCAAGTCGTATTCAACATGGCGTTCGGTTCAAGTGATATTCACTTGGCATCAACTTTATCTTTCAATAAGTTCAAAGAAAGAAACACCCACCAACTTCCTCGACACCCTAAAGAACCTATCTCTCCGACAGAACCTCTCTCTCTCACCTGCTCTGCAAAAATACGTGTGTAGATGCGTGTATGTATATATATATATACACAAATATATGTATATATTCCTCTACGACTTCGCTGACTTCGCTTGGGGATTGATGGGGCTCATTGTGGACCAGCCGCGATCCATTGCTTTTTGAAGAGTTGTGACTCTCAAAACAAAAACAGGACTTGGCTAGTCTTGGTCAGAGTCTTTTGGGTCCTCCGCATCACCTGCTATCCTGGCCTCGGGTTCAGAATGACATGCCAATGCTTTGCCGTCGAAACGTTCACCCCAAACAAAGCATGGCTTGATGAGTTTCGGCATTGTGCACCATGCACATTCAATAGAAGCAACACTGCAACAAGTTTAAAAACACTGAAGCCCATGTTGCACTAAGCACGCTGAAGAAATTTGAAGAAACTAGTTGGAAAAACTCCAGAAGAATCTCGAAGAAACGCTCAGCACGTGGCAAGTTTGCACGCTGTACTCGCTCCACACTCGCTCCACATTCACAATCAGAAAACCTCAACCATTTCAGCAGCTTGACCATATAAAAATGCACCAACCCCATATATATATAATTATATATATATAGTATTAATCCTTCGTCCACAGCTTGGGCTAGGACGACCCGGCACGGAACATCAGCACACATCAAACCCACATCCCACCCTCTTCTCTTCACTTTATGAAGAGATTTGCTTGAAAAGGGCGGGCAAACTAGTTCTCATCTCATGATGTTTGCTGGTCGTTGCAGGTGTCCTTCCGATTCCTTTCACAGTATGCTAGTGTAAAAGGGAGTCCACTTCTATCGAGCGCCATCATAGCAGAGCACACAAAGCACAGCGGTGCGGATGTCTGACCAGGGCCACGTGGCACTGGTGGTGTGCAAACGTCTTCCGTGTATCATCGCTGCAGACTCAAGAAGTCAAACACAACTTGACGCAAAAATGTGTGTGTGACTTCATTGCCGACATGTAGTATCGGCAAATAATCTCTCCCGTACTGGCGCAGGCTTTTCAATTTAGGGCACAGCAGGAATTTAAGCAGCACAAAAGGCAATGTGCGTCCTCATGAACAGTGCAAACATGCTAATCCAATTCTCTGCTGCTCGCGTCTGTGGACTGTACGAATAACTGGACGGCCTCTTACGTTCATGCGAGTACTCTGACCTACTCTCCCATAGAGTAAGCCGTGAGGTGCAATGCCCATATTGAGCAAACCGGTCTCAAGATTTTGGCGAATCTGAACAACCGTTTGCTGCGGCAAGGTTGAGGCAAAGTTTAGAGAGCGTTTGGGCACGCAGCTGGCACTGCAGGATATGTTTTTTCTCCTCTCTCTGGGCCAATCGAAGGCTGCATTTACACAGCACCAGGGCAAACACCGAGGATACTGACTTGAGAACAAACTTGGGAATCGGTAGCATCCACCCAAAGTACATGTGTACTGTGGCAGACTACACTGACTACACTCAAAGGTCAAGATTGCCGCAATGTTCCCAAAGACCTAAGCGTTTGCAAAGGCATTTTCAGAACTCTTCATGAGTACAGGTCCAAGAGTCTAGAAGAGTTCTCTGCTCTGAGGCTGGTTCCAATTGGAGGCACGTTCAACAAGAGCTGCACTGGCCTTTGCTACAGAATGTCACAAATGTGTAGATACTCTGGCCAAAGCTCCACACTGGGGTCAAAGCCCTGGTGCTGGCAACAGACATCATTTCACCCTCTTCCGCTTCCTGTCAAATAAAACTGAAGTCAAGGGACTCAGGCCCCCTTTAAAGGGGCTTTGTTAGACCAAGTCCACATCCTTTTTTCTCTTTCTTAACCAGCCTCGTCCCCAGGAATCTTTCTATCCTGCCTGTCCTGCCGGCTCATCGCCACATAACAACACATCGCAGGTCCAGCAATCCGAGCCTGTGCAGTTCCCCCATTCTTGAGCAGCGCCTCATTTGCAAAACACGGACAATGTAGACATTGACTGAGATTCGCTTCTCCCAGCGAGCTGGAGGGCCTGGGTGTCGAGATGGCCATGCAACCCAGCATAGTAGGATGCACATCTTCCTAGCTCGTCCTGAAGACTTTGCATTGTTGAAACTAGAACCGGCGAAACTAGGAGCAAGAACGCTACTACGGGCTCCTGGCCTTAAGAACGCTACCACAAACGGGTTCTCTCAAAAAGGTCGTCCTCGTGGTTGGCATCTGCACGGCATTGCAGCCTAGATCATCGGTTCTGACAGGCAAATTCGCGGCAATGGTTCTACAAAGCAAACTGCTAAAAGGGATGACAGAGATCCAAGAGTTAGGTACGCTGTTTGAGAGTGGCAAGTGTCAAGGGGACGAAAGCAAGAAACACATTCTTGACGTATGAGTGGCATGAGGGCGTTTGGGAAGAAAAACCGAAGAGGGCTGAGAGATGAGACGCACAAGAAGTAAGGTGACCGCTGGTTGAACAAGATAGACCAAGCAAGCTGAGATGAAATGTCAAATGATAAACGAGACAAAATGAGACATCTACTGAAGCGAGTTAAGTTGAGTTGAAGCCAGAAAAGACGGAAGAGAGGCAAACGAACAAACATGACAAGCACTATATTCACTGATGTTACCAATCTTTGGTCCCAAGCTGCAGCAAAACCGGGCTCGATTAATCTACTGTATATATATATATATATTGATCTCATGAGAGCAGCCAGGCCAAATTGAATGCTCTTTCATCAGATATGCCTGCCTCTTTTTAGCTGACTTGGGCTCTCACACTCACCGTCTCAGCTCAAGACAGCAGCTGGCAAACATCAGTCCGCCCCTCTGCTGCAGCCCAGTGCAAAGCCGTCCAGCAAGCTCCTGTCCGATTACACTGCGTGGTGGACAAAAGACTATCACATCAAAAACATCCGACCAAATTGACCGAATTGACCGGAAAGATTGTCACTTTCCCAAATTCAGGACATCGTCATCGTGCATTCCTTGTCATTTCTTTGTGATTTGTCCATTCTGTTTGTTGCCATAGTGGCTTGTCAATCCGAGTGCAAGAGGCTGGTCACCCGGCTGGTCGTTGATGTTGTGGCCTGCCAAGATGCAACCTGATGGATTGGTGGGAGCCTGTCTGGATGCTGGGTTGGGCCACTGAGTGGGGTCACTGGAAGGACGGACGGACCATGAGTTGTGTTGGTGGGTTGGACACCTGGGATACTGCGTGGGGCCTTGTACTGTAGCACTGTAGCAGCACTAACACCGATCCTGTCTGAGGAAAGCACAAATACAAACATGGAGACTCACCAATCTCCTGCATTTTCCCCACCATGTAGAGCATCCCAGCCGTGCTTTGCCACAATCGATACGGCAGCCTTATCAACTGCAAAGGCGACCTTATCGATTCGTTCCTTGCGTTGCTTAGGTTGCCACTCGATAGACCTGCGGCAGATCATGAAGTTCCTCAAGGCCTCATGCAGCGACGGATGCTAAGGATTCCCAACTCAAAACCAAGCAATGCATCCTGGGAGTCCTTGAAAAAGCAAAGGTAAATCTAGTGCTGCAGGTCACAGATTGGCGTGACTTGGATGCTAGGGTTATCAGCCTTGCCCCGCCAGATCAATCCTTTGCACAATACACATTTGCAACTTGTTGTCATTCCTGCGGGCTGCCTCTTTGGCCAATGGAAGTTTAGACAGTCACGCCACCGACAAATCACATAGCGCAACACACAAACATATATCAGAAAAGACCTATGGGCGTGTACAAAGTACTATATTATTGGCACATTGTATGCAGTGAGTATATGTGCATGTGTATGTGTATGTGGGATTGTGTGGGGTGGTTCAAGACAAGGTCCCCAACAGCCTTGCGACTGGTTCGCAACTATATAAAGGCTTTTGATACAGCTCAGCTCGTGCATGCAATGTTTAGTATTGCACTGATTAGAGCTTGCCAGAACACCGCGAGTCACTACACATCCACACATATCAACACAGATCATCGCACATCAACACAATCATTGCATCCCAATAGAATCACCAGAAACTACCTCAGAAACCACTGCAAATCATAATCGAAGGGAAAATAAGTTTCTTGTAAGCTACTACGGTGACTCTACAGACCAGACTGTGCCTTAATTAATAGATTCAAAACCTCAGAGAAACCAAACTGTGCTCACAGCAAAGAATAACAACTTGCTACAGATAACCATCATAATTTATTGCAACCACGGCAAGTCCCCTCACTCCAAGTCACAACACTTCAGCCCAAATTGCTAAACATCACCAGACTATCCCACAAGTCAAGGCTCCGCAAGATTCAGACTACACTGTTCATAGCTTTGCAAACGGAGGGAGACGTTGTGTCTAGCATCGTGCGAGTCTCTCGCCTCTGAAGTGCTTCATTGCGGCTCCTGATATCAATATGTTTGTTTGGCCCGCTCCCCCCCTTCCTACCTCATTAAGTGAGGGAGAGGTAGCTACTAGGCTACTAGCTACTAGCTGCTTAAGCTAGCATGGACGCAGGATAGCTCACGCTTCTTCAAGGAAGCTCCACCCGCCTGAAGGCGGGGGGAGCTTCCTTGAAGAAGCGCTCGCACTAATGATGTGGTTCCTAGACTTTTTGGATGTTGTTCACTCGCCACCGTTCTGATACACAACAGGTGTGGATCGAGTGCTCGAAGATACTCCAAGTACGTATCACTTACGAAGCACCTGCAAGAACGCTAACAGAATCCAACAAATCTGAAAGCATCGGCAAGGGTCCTTGCCCTTCCGGCAATGTGGCCGGAACTGCAGCTCGAGGCGCTGGTGACGTCTGAGCATCTTCACCTGCTTGTAGTTCTGGGTATGAACTACGGGATATGTAGCCCCAGAGAAATAATTCAAGGTTCTGAAGATGTATATATGTGTGTGTGTGTGTGTCAAGTCTGCAATCTGGATCATGCTGGAACACCAAACAAGAACACATCAAGAGTGAAAGCACCCGCAGCAAAGCAAAAAATATACCAGCTGCACAAGCCAGAAAAAAAAAATAAAAGCAAAAAAACATAAGACACTAAGAGCAAAAACACACACAAACAAGGAAAGACACCATCTCAAGGAATAAACAACCAGAATCATAAGCACCAAGTCGTAACCTAGGGGTCGCGCATCCAAAATCTGTCAGGAAAAACAAAGGCCTTGTAAGACCAAATCAAACAAAGACATTCAATACGTAATTTCACCTAGCACAAAGCAGCACAACAACAGCAGCAAGCAGCA